AAACATAAAATTAATTATGGAGAATAAAAAGGAAGTTACAAACTTTTGTTCAAGATAAATGAACATTTTTTAGCTGAATATCATTACAGTAAATTTGTTAGTATACATGGATGAAATGTATCAGATTAGAAATAGTTGATCATCTACTATTGTATATTGCACTATGTTAAGTTTTAAAAGACAAGTTTTGAAGACAATAATGATAGTTTGAATGTGTTGAATTGCTGTTAAGTGTAAGCCATCTTCCCTTAGCCGAAAAACTACATTTTCATTTGAAATTTGTCAGAAATTAATTATGCAACTGGAAAAGAAAAACAATGCAGATTGATACAAGTTGGAAATGTGACTTAAAAGGCAATACGAACGTCGTGAAACACCAAGGTTCTACAGTCTATCCATGGCAGAATCATCAATCTGGATGTTAATGAGTCTAAGGATAAGACAACTGATAAGTTCGTCACTAGGTACGCTTGAAGCTATTACGAGTTCACCTTGGTCGATAAACGCGAACGAGACAATTACCAGCGTCCAGGTAGGCTACCTTATACCAGGCTGAAGACAGGAAGGCTTTGTAAGCGTAGAAAGTATATTCTACAACACTCAGCAATCACAATGCAATCAAGCACACAACTCTCGTTTATTTATACATGATAGAAACTTCCTTGGGACACTTACGAAAATAACACACTAAAATACACAGCAGCCAATCTTAGTCATGGATTTTCCTGGTAGGAAATGAAATCTCAAGGTCAACTGATAAGCCCATGTTCGCGAACATGAAATCAAAAATAAGGCATTTATCAAGCGAGTTTTGGTGGATCTAACATCCCCAACAACAACTTTGTGATTTCCGTAGTTCATTAATTAACACATCACATCATGACAAATGAAAAAAAGTATATAATGACATTTTGATGATAGGAAATTATTATCACTAACCTCACTATTGAAGAACAATACACGACCATCATATGTGCCAACAACAACTTGTAGTGCCTTCCACAACAAATGTTCGCACAAGTGATCACTGTTTTAGGTCCACATCCACCACTACTGTTTCCTTTTGCACGATGAAAGACCCAGCATTGATGTTGTATATTGTGAACCGGTATATGGATTAGAACGTGTAAAAAAATTAGCAACAGTATTTGTGGACGATGATGTATTAGTTGCTACTTGGCAAAGCACTAGGTACTGGGACTTCAACCCCCAAAAACGTACTTCTTATCTGGTATATTCCACAGACGAAGTTTCCCATCCAAACGACCAGAGAGAAAATAACGATCATCCTGGTGAAGGAGAGAGAGAGTAAATAATCACTAAAGACAAAGTATACACTGGTTAGTTCATTGATAACTTTATCAAGTAGACGGATGACAGATGCATTTGCTTTTTGACTATTTGTACATCGTCAATTTTAATGTTCGTTGAGACATATAACCATTTATCGCTACTTTTCACACCATATTCTCGTTTTCATCGATTCGTTATTCATCAAGCTGATTTTATTTAGCCGAACTAATTTGATATAGGAATATAGGCCAACTCATAAACGTACCAGATTCAACGTTGACCATAGTATGATGGTGACTATAAAAATAACTAGGATGAGCTAGCTGTTGGATTTCGTTAGGACCAATCATGTTCGAACCAGATCGAAATACTGTCGGTGATTGTCAAACAATTAACTAGATAGAGCTCGTCACTAAGCATGAACTTCCCTGGTTGATGTTTTATGCATTCCTCAAGAGGGATATAAGGCTTAAGTACGGAAGTAATTGAAAAATCGATAAAAGAAAACTATTTGGCTGATCAAAACACAGAAAAAATAGTTGATAATCATTTAGTATAGTATAAGTGAAATAACGGATAACTAATTAAACAAGTAGTAATTGATAAGACATTTTAAAAGATGTTAATTTCCTGGATAGCGCACTGCTGAGGAGTCCCATACCAGGACAAAACGGCCGTCCAGTTGCTTCCAGGTTCGTTCTAACTGGTGGTCTAACATTTGATCGATTCATGGTTTCGAAAATGTGTAATTTCATAATTGTAAGCAAATAAATAAATGGGACTGTTTACTTTTATCAATATACTTATTTCATGTTTTACAACAAAAGTTGTCGAATTCGATATAATTGTACTGAATTTTTGTAAGTGTTAGTTAGTTTAGTTAACATAACGTTCATGAGAAATACATCAATCAAATAGGTTAATTTATGAACAAAGGTATATAAATATATACACATATAGTAAATTTGTATACCTTTGGATGAAATACAATTGTTGGCACTGTATCATTATGACTAAATACACATAGGCATTCACGTCGACTTATATGCCAAAGCCGTACTTGATGATCCATACTAGTAGCTAGAAGGAATAAATTTTTAGACCATGCTAATTCTGTAACCACACCTTCATGACCTCGTAAAACTAATAATGGTTTTGAACGAAATACAGTTCTACGTTCACGATGTACACTGTGCATTGTAGGTAATGATGATGCAGCGGTTGTTGTTGTTGTTGTTGCCGGTGGCAGTGGTGGTGATGATGATGATGATATTGGTCCAGGTGCTGTTGTGGATTCCGACGGTTTTGTTTTACTATTTTTAGTACTATCACAAGAAGATAATGGTGAAGGAAATTCATCAGTTAGACCGAGTACATTAGAATATCCTTGTGCAGAACTGCTACTAGATGCTCCATCCTAAAGTGTAAGTAAACAGAGATAAACAAAACCTATCAAATTATAATATATTTCACAATTCAATTATATAAATTAACCCTCTATTGTCAAGGGCAATGTTACATTGATTTTCAGGAGAACCGAAGAAAATGCTCATGTGTTAGCAATTCAACATGACATCTGACACCCTGGTGGACCATTCACACTATTTATATACACTAGTACACATATAGTGATTATTTCCTGTCCATGATCGCGTCAATCAATATGCAGCGCATGAACAGGCCAATTTGACCCATCCCGCTTACATGACTGTCAAACTCATTATTACTAGCAATGGTGATGTACAAAACAGCGCCCTAGTGACAATGGCCCTCGAGAATGTTGCAAAACAACCACCAATATCAATGAAATCGGTCACCCTGCCAACCAATTTTGTATATGGACTGTCAGCATTACTTGCTAAAGCAATGCCGAACCATCCAGTATGTTGACAGCGAACCTTCATCGCTGTATAACAGCAGAGCATATGATAAAAACATAGTACGGCATAAGATAGCAAGAGATACAGCTCAGCCCGATGCGAATAAGCTCAAACACTCTTATTACCCTTTATTGGATAATTATTTTTTCGTACTACCGAAATATGAGATCTGAGTTATAACATACATGACTAGTTAAATATAATTAATTCTAGATGATTATTTAAGATGAATACCAAAGAGATAACATGAAAATAATGAAAAAAAAAATCAATTGATACGCTGATCAACGAAATCAACTAACCAGAAAGATCTAATCTAAGCACCATAATTGATGATGCGTTTATAATTTTAGACGGAGTTTATCAACCCTTATGAACTTATAAATCGTAATGTTTAGAATGATATGAGTGCAATAAATTTTGATAATTAAAACAAAATTTCGATTGATCGCAATTAATGAAATTGCGCTTTCAAAACTAATCATCCTTATTTGACACATTAAATGATTCAATTTTATATACGAAAATGTTAGCAATTTAACAGATGGTCAAATATCTTGGAGATTAATTTTATTTATATGAAGTACACATCATTGATCAATCAGAGTTAGGATACCATTGTAAACTAGACGAGAAGTACTCAGTGGCGTCCCAACACAGTGGTTAAGCGCTGGCGAAAAAATTAAACAGCCTGGATTCGATCTTTGGCGAATTCGTGCATATGTGATCTTAATGAGTTTCGTGTTAAAATACAACAGTTGAATAGTGTTCCTTAATTTTTTTTAGTGGTATTTCAATTGATGAACAATACCTATGAATTCATAGAATAGTTAAAAATATCTCCACATTGTCAGTACACATACGCACACATACATTGCAAGTAAACAAAATATTCACTAAATTTACTACTATAAGCAATAATTAAAAATGAATATCATAATTAGATTTACCGCTTCACTAACATCAGTTTTACCTGATGTTGAAATGGTAGTCGATGTTAAGCTTAACGAATCAAAACGACTCTCTTCATCTAATAGTACAGTGGATGTAGCATCATTTACAGTTTGAAAATCATTTGATATAAATGAACCAACTGATTCATATTTTGCACTAGTTGGTGGTGGAGCTAAAAAAAAAGTTGAAAATTTATAAAACAAAAACAAAAGAGCTTTAAATTTGTGTTTTGTTTTAATGATGACAGAGAAAATGAAGTTATTAGACATAGTTTGCTTGAATAACTTATTTACCAAGCACAGATTTAGTTATTACCGTGCTTGAAATGATACTCTAAATGTAAGAGCTAGTGATACTATCTAGTTCCCAAAACTAAAGTACGATAGAGCGGGTTTCGGACCTGTGACTTAGTAGATAGAAGTCAAACACTTTAAACACTAAGCCAATGTTTAATTTTGAACGCATATCTAATTACAAAACAAAATACTGTGAATGATTTCTAAAGAGAAATCGTTGTAGGACATATGTATTACAATATTCTATTTTTAGAAAATCATTTCAAAACTGTGCATCATCTGTGTTCATAAAAGTACAGTAAAAGATCATACGAAATAACTACATTACGAAAGGTAAGTACTTAAACAAAACTAACTTTTCCCCATTACATTATTTATTCGTGTTCAATAGTTTGAAAAGAGTTTATTAATCAAATAATAATACTTTTACTTTATTAATTTTAAGTTTACTACGCTGTCGTCAGATTAAATAACGAAAAAAAATAAACCCAAGATTTCGATTCTTTCCTATTAAGAACCAGTAGCGTCAATTTCTGATAGTTCTGCCGCTCAGTAAAACATAAAACACTACTGAAGAAGAGCAATAAAACTTTCTTATAGTTGATTTGAATTATTCAGTACAGCATGTTATTTATGATCATCATATCAACTGAGTCAGTCATAGACAAAATTTGCAACTCTGTATTGCATTAGTACATAAGTCACTTGAAACAATTACTCGATTCACTGAATAAATTTGTTGGAGATGTTAGATCCCCAGAACTCGCTTGATAAATATCTTTATTTTGGATTTATTTCATCGACCGATCAGTTGGCCTTGAGATCACATTTCCCATCAGGAAAATCCTTGGCTGTGATTGGTTACTGTGTCGTTTTAGTGTGCTATTTTTGTGACCGTCACAACGACGTCTCTATAGAGTATAAATAAATGCGATTCGAGTGCTTGCATTCATTTTGTGCTGGCTGGGTGTTTTTAGAATACAATTTCTACGCTAAAACAAGACTTCTTGATACAATTTGGTCAAGGGATCGCAGTAGCCTACCTCGACTCTGGTTCATTGTATTGTTCCCGTTATTCGACTAAGGTGGACTCGTAATAGTTAAGCATACCTAGAGACGAGCGTAACAAAACTGTTTTAATATTTTGTACGATCTTAAATGTTCTTTATACTACTAAGTCAAACAGCAGCATCCAGCAATTACAAATGTTGAGTTGAGTTTCATAATAAGTGACATAATCGGTAGATAAGAATCTATGTGATAAGTGTGATAAATGAACACTAGATCTGATTTCATAGTTGCTTCTTATAACCCTAGGCTAAATCTACACGGCTATTTGCACACGAGAGAAAAGGCGAAAAGTGAAATTATAATATTCTAATCTATGGTTCCTTTATTAATGGCAAATCGAAGGTATTTATACAGTTAGGTTTAACCTTCAGCTTCTGGAACATTGCAAGACCATGTTAAATATAATAGTAGTGTAGGCATATATACACTCAAAATCTTAACACATGATTCCTTATTTTCTAGATACTTCTACGAAGATCCTACTCAACGATAATTGGATAAAACGTTCCCAAGTATTTACCGGGACCATGTAGACATGGCCGACGAATACTTTGGAGCTGCCCAACAGTGAATTCAAGTACATATATACTCAAGTTACATGATACTAACTTGTTTAACAGTGTATTTTATTACAGAATATCTAATAGTACAAACTTTATGGGAATTCTAATAGGGTGTTCAAGCGTTGAACACTAATATTGTAAAGCAGAATACAATAGCAGCATCTAAGATAGTTTTCTTTTGCATTTCTAAGCAAAATTAGGTTTGGAATTTTTTCAAGTCATAAAAAACATTGGGAAGAATCAAATGATTGAAGACATTTTCAGAAATCTGTTTCATTTGAAATGGAAACACAACTCTAGTTCATACTTTCCAATATAGAAAAAAACGACATCAGATGATCAATGCACAAAAGTAACAACACATTCATTTGAGTATCATCATTATTCATACATCTCTCAACTGTAAGTTCTTTAACGCATAGTTAGTGAATTTTATACAAGATAAAAGTTTCTGCGTAAAGATGTCAGTCATCAGTCACATATCACCGAATGTTTTATTTGATTATCATATTCACTTAAAATAAAGATAACACTAGTCATTTTTAAATCTGTAATTTTAATAGAAAATTGAAATCAACAAACCGTCACACATGCTCTGTTCATTATCGTTTGAACTGCCATCCTTTTAATATCGATTTTTCAAATTTAATCTTATCGAGTCAAATTGCACACATTTATTTTTCATTTATTACTTAATGGTTTTAATGATTTGTAGAGATTATTTTAAGTCTAATTATCCACATTTGACCTACTATTGAGAAAACTTTTGTTACAGCATTTTATTTTTCTTACTACTATCAGTACACCTGTCTTCCTACTATCAACTTGTACTTTTGCCTATTATGTGTAGTGATGTGATCTATTTCACTTCATTGTGATTATTGACTGAAAACGCCTTGATTGGTTTAACATTTTTAAATATTTTAAATCATGAATCGATCAATGCTAGACCACCATTATAAACCAGGGAAGCACTGGTTAGCCGTTTCGTCCTGACATGGGACTCATCAGCAGTGCGCATCCACGACTTCGTACCTCTCACGATTCGAATCCAAGACCTTCCGTATTGTGCGCGAACGCCTGACCTCTGGATCACAGAGCCGGTATCTAACGCTGTTAATGTCTAACTATGATCGATTCACGGTCTTCCGCAACCTCAGATAGATTACTTCCTTACGCCTGTTACCCCCAACGGAGCATAGGCCATATATATATATATATATATATATATATATATATATTCACGTATATTCGAGTAAAGCCTGATGACAATCTCATTGAAAACAATAATGTTCGTTTATACATGTGGCACTATTTTTATTTTGTTTCATTAATTTTTAACTAAAGTCAAACACTAACTAATGACGTAGGTCATGACAGTCAACTGAATTACAATACAATCATATCTATAATCAGTTTGATTTAGAAGGCGTCCAAAATTCCGAGAGAGATTAAAGAAACGAATCTATACTATAAAACTGGTGACTTACTAGAACTTCGTTGCATCTCTTTAAAATATCGATAACACTGTTTCAAGACCCATATTCGAATATTTCGATCATATCCAGCAGTAGCCTATGGTGTATATATATATATATATGCATTTAACAAAAAGATTGTTGTTTTTATTTTACTAATAGAAAATGTAAACATATAAGTACGATATGATAAATATGCAATAATAAAGAAATGTTAACACACACACACACATTGAACATGTTTATTAAGATTTACAACTAAATGAACTCTTAAAATATTATGAAGCTATGATAGCGGTGATATTTACAGATGCAGATTTACTTCCTCGAAACCAGATTGTTAACAATAATGTTTATTGGTCAAATTGTCTTCTTTTAATGATAACAATGCATAAATAGCATTTACTAAGTGAATATGTTTAAAAGTATACAGTTAAGAGCTAATCAACGTTTGTTGCTGTGAATGACACTGGGCACGTCAAGTGTTCTTTATAAAATATACGTAGCTTTGAAAGCCACGAATAGGTAGTGAAGTAGTTGGGCGTATCAACCGCTTCACTTAACTCGAGAATCTCATCAGTGCTGATGACCTGGTCACTGACGAAATCTCACCACGGATACAGAAGGCTCGATTGGCTTTTGCCAACCTGAGTCACTTATGGTGTAGGTAAGATATCCGTTTGCTAACCAAAGGACGAGTGTACTGTGCAGCAGTTCGATCCGTCCTACTTTATGGCTGTGAAACATGGCCAGTGAGAGTAGAAGATATTCGTATGTTACTGGTTTTGGATCATAGGTGTCTCCGAAGCATTGCTCGTGTATCCTGGGACAACCGAGTAAGCGATGCTATAGTTAAGAAACGAGTACTAGGTATGGATGGCAAATCAATACATGAAGTATTGAAACTTCATCAGTTGAGGTGGTTTGGACATGCGTTGCATATGCCCGATCACCGACTACATTGATGAGCGATATATTGTGGTGTAGAAGTAGGTTGGAAGAAAGTTAGGGGCGACCAAGCTAAAACATGCCACAAATCCATGAAATCACTAACAAGTGGAATGAGTCATGTTGGTAAATATAGGCTACCTGGTTGGGGTCCGCGAGACGAAAGTCACCAATGGTTAGAGACCTTGAACGACATGGTTCAGAATCGTTTGCAATGGCGCAGGTGCATCCACTCTTTGTGTTCTATAAAATTCTAACCTTCTGAATTCCTCATCATTTATATCTTTCGCTTTCTAAACTTATCTCCATGAATTATACTCCTCGAATCATATCTTCGAACCCTAATCTTCTTCAGTACTGCTAATACTTCTACTATTTCTACCACTATGGGATTTGAATTGACAACTGCATCTTTGTGCTAATGTGGTTTGGCAACCTGAACTTATTTACTCATGTACGAAGTTAAGTCGAAACTTACTGACTGATTCCTAAGTATATATATATATATATATATATATATATATATATATATATATATATATATATATATATAAGTTATTGAAATACTTAAATAGTAAAAACTAATTCGAGAAACAACCTAGAATCGGTTTTAAATAAATTAATAGAGACAAATAATAGATTTGAAAGAATGTGACCAATAGAGTATTAAAAGAAGGAATATAGAAAAAGATGCAATCAACCACAACAGAAAAAATAATAATAATAATAATAATAAGAAGAAGAAGAAGAATTAAAATAAAATCAGTCAATGATTATTATTGTTGATATTATACAAAATAAATAATAATACAACTGGATAAAAAAATAAAGTATTTTAGATTGAGAAAATAATATAGATATTATTGAGAATTGATCAATCGATTAGGATGTAGTGAAAAGTTTCACATTATATTAACATTTATTATTATTATTATGATTACATCTTTTGTCAATAGAAAAAACATACACTCACCAATAATCGACCACATGGTGAAAAACGCATAGCCCATATAGCACCCTAAAATGAAAAACAATGTATATACACTTAGGAAACATTAATAACAATAAATTCTATTACTTAAAAATGATACTGATTCAGTAATCAAGTCCCACTACCACACAACACTCTAAGGTAGTTTAAGCAGACAAATAAATAATGAATAAAAAGGTTATCGGAGATTTATATATATCAAGAATACTTTTGTAGAAGAAAATACACTGCATATCTATGCATATATTTTATGATGATCTTGTAAGATTTTGTGAATAGTGAGAATAGTAGCTTAAGTGATAGTAACATATTTATTTAATTAGGTTAGAAAAGAAAGCAAGTCATATTTATAAATTTATTTAAAAAATTATTACATGATAATGAGAATAACCATTATTTTTTATTCATTATTGTACAGTATAGAGCACTTTGTTTCGGTATATTTAATAGATCAATACTGTATATGTGTTTTTTAATGGACATACCAACCATCACAAAACTAATAAGCTGTGACTGACTAATCGTATCGTGAAACTTCTAAGCTTCTGCATTCCTCATAATCTCTACCTTTCTCCTTCTATATTTATCTTACTGAATTATACTTCTCCAATCATATGTTCGAACCCTAATCTTCTCCATTACTGCTAATACTTCTATTATTGCTATCACTCTTGGATTTGAACTGACATTTGCGTCTCTGTGCTGATTGGGCATGGCAACCTGAACTGATATACTTACGTACGAAGTTCTGCGTTTTATCTGTCTGTCTGATACTTTGATTTCAGGGTAAAACCACTAATTTCATGTGCACCTCCACTGCTCTCAATTAGTTTTGTGTAGTTTTATAGGTTCAGAATGTGTTGGCATTCCGCTAATGCATCTTAGAAGGTTAGGTGTGCATCCTATACTATGCGAGCTAAAATACGTGTAGTTATTTCGAAATTAGATGGAAATTGTAAACCAAAAGCAAAAATTAAATATTCATATTGGTCTTGGGGTTAATGAACCTACATTAAAACGTTTGGCAAGCTTGATTTACCTTAACAGTGTGAGTGAGCAAAAAGACAGTGGGTTTTCTGGATACCTTCAGGCAACTAAAGCGTATACTTAATCAAGATGACTGTTCACTAAAAATCTTCCAAATGATACTAACCGTTTAAGAAAAATTGATGTCACTGGACAATTATGGAAGAATAAACTTCGTATATTTAAGGTGTTTATTTGTTCTCAACTTTCTGAGAACTTTCTTGTTAAAATTGTTTAGATCAGGCAAATAAAATTTTAAATCTTAATATCTGTTCTACCAGGTATCAAATGAAGTTCTGCTTTCTGGATCAAAAACAAATACAGTAACTGGTTTCCAATACCATAACAACTTTATTCAAAGAATCACATTCAGAAGACTGAGCAAATTTTGAAGCTGCTTTTTCGCAGTTAGCTGTGTGTCTTCAAACTGTTTGTGCTGTTGTTCAAAAAATCTCTTTCAATCCATCAACTGGTATGGACATTTTTTTTCCAATTTCCCGTAGCCAAATGTTGTATCGCTAACCATTGACCAATATCACTTGATAAATACAAAACACCAATCAGACTTACACCTTGGCACCAGAAACATTGAATTAGCTCTAAATCCTTTTTGGTCCATGAAACTCATTACATTTCAAGCAGACAAAGTTTACATACTTAACATACCAGACTACATCAAACCATAAAAACAACAGAATTTTTTATGTAACAAACTTCCATAGTAGTTAAGAAGGAGTTGAATAAATTTAGACTCTAGCCGGAGTGTATCGCATTTGATTTAAAACATAAACTGAGTGACCAAAGCATTTAAAAACACTTCAAGTGTGTGTGCCAGATATCTTTTTAAAAAGCCATAAACTCTCATAAATTACACATCAGAGACGACGTTAAAGGTAATCGCCCGCCTCTGACTCAATGATCTCTATATATGTATTCGAAAAAACTTGTAATATGGTTGTTCGTTAACAGGCCGAAAAAAAATTTTAACCTTTTTTTATTATTTTAATTATATACTGTTCCAACTACAGTGAAATTTTGATTTGTTTACTCGGACTGTACATTATTTAGTATTGCATGAAAAATTCAGTTATCTTTTAATTTTAAACGTTTATTTGTCAATTTCATTGTGTTGTATACATGTATATATATATATATATATATATATATATATATATATATATATATATATATATTTCAACTGATTGACTCTACTTACAGTATTACATAAATCCAGCGAAAACAAACATGATGAGATTGAAAGTGAAGTGCTTCAAGGTAAACAAACACGGTAACTATTCAAACTACTGCACCACTATTACTACTACTACTACTACTAATAATAATAATAATAACGATAAGAACGAATATATATTGGAATAGGAAGGTTACAGGTCGAAATAAACTTATCAAAATAATAAATATTTAAAAAGTACATACTAATAATAACTATGAGCTACATGATAGATGAATTGAAGCAGGGGAGAAAAACTTTTTTTCATACAACAAGAGTCTTTATTGATCAGTTTTGTTGTTGACCAATGGATAGTTGTTCATATAAAGAAAAAAAGTTTTCAGTGTAACTGATCAAATGAGTTACGTTCTCATCTCTTATCAATCTAAGAGAAAGAAACCTAAAGACAGAAAGCTAAAAGAATGAAAGCTGACAACTCTGATCTTTGAATTTCGTTGATTGGTTCAAGAAAAAAGCCTAACATATTATTAATTCATACTATTGTTTAACTGTTACTATTCTCTCCTGTATCTTTTGTATACCTTAAATTGACTTATTCATACTTTTGTTAATAAATAATAGTTTAATCTTAGTTCACTACTACAATCAATGAGTATCACACTATGATGACTAGTTCATAATGATAGATTGATTCAAAGTTATAGTACCTATGACAATAATTGAGATAACTAAGATGACAAGATTGACAATTCATGCATAAAAACAACCACTTCAACACAATCTGAATTAAATAGATACTTTAATGCACTACAATTAGCCTTTAATACATACAATTTTCAATAAAAATAGTACAATTTATTAGCAAACAAACAATGTTTCAATTCGTATCATATCAAATTCCATTTATTGAACAAATATGAGAAGTCAGTCAGTTACAACGTAGAACTTCGTACATGATTACATAAGTTCAGGTTGCCATACCACATTAACAGAGAGATGCAATTGTCAGTTCAAAACCCATAGTGGTAAAAATAGTAGACGTATTAGCAGTAATCGGTGAGATTAGAGTTCAGAGATATATTATTCAAGAAATATAATTCAGTGAGATAAATTTAGAAAGAGAAACATAGGGATAATGAGTGTTATAAATCTCTCTAAGTGAAGCCAGCTATTCCTATTGCTTAGTATTCTCTGACAACAATACACTCGACAAGTCCCCAAATCAGAACACCGTTGAACAGGAAAAGATTACATTCCAAATAGTAAGGTTATATGGAAGTAAGAAGCCGAAGCGAAGGCGAAATAGGAACAAACTTAGTATCCTTATAGTTTTTACATGAGAAGCTTCTGGAATGTACTCCACGTATCGACTAGCGCTGATAGGATTAGATTTAGTCAATCAGCAGGCAGCCAACGCAGACATGCTTTATTTCATCTATGTCGCGCTAACAATGAGGAATTCTGAAGATTAGGATTTGAGAGAACACAACCAGTGAATGCACCTGCGTCACTGCAAACGATTTTGAGCCATGTCGTTCAAGGTCTCTAATCATCGGTGAATTTCGTCTCGCGGACTACAACCAGATAGCCTACATCTTACCAACATGATTCAGTCCACTCTTCAGTGACTTCAAGGGTTTGTGCCATGTTTTGGTTTGGTCGCCCCAGCTTTCTTCCAACCTACTCCTAAACCATAAAACTTCACTCATTGAGGCAGTCGGTGGTTAAGCATACGTAACACATATCCCCAACCACCTCAATTAATCAATTGATCTGCCAAATATGAGAAGTGGCACATACACACGCAAGAAACGTTATGCGTATAGCCTATATCTCTATCTGTTTATATCAGATTTAATGTTGTTATTAGTTTGACCAGGCACAAAAACAAAATGCAATCAACAAAAAAAAACTAATGACAAGAAAGTGATTAACAATCAAAACAGAAAACGACATAGTAAGGTATTTTTACTATTAAAAAATAAACAGATTTAGGGATAGCATTGAATACGAAAAAGTAAATTTACGCTAATTAATCATTCACACAGCAAAAATTCAATACCATCTACCCATCGTTCACATAAATACAAAGATCGAACTTAAAAAGTCAATGAAATTATAGAATTGTTGATAGATAAACACACATAACCAGAGGACTTGACAACAATTAACTACTGGAAATCATTAGAAATGAAAATGAATCAAAATGATCAAGAAATATATGATTGAGAAAAAAAATGGGAAAATGAAGTAGGAAAATTCCGAAGAAAATACATAGTAGAATTGTTGATTGTTTTGTGAATCGTTACGCATTAGTTACTATTATCTTACTGACTCAAAATTTAAATTAGTTATTAGTCTAATCATCATAAATTTATAGTTTGATGACATTCACAAAATCAAACAAAACTTAATGATGAACAAAATGTATATAAATTAACAATTAACTTAAAAACTATTATTATAGACTAACCGTGTGCTCATTTTTCATTTCTTGAACTAATTTGATTTGCAAGAATTCTCGTCTTCCTCTTGCTTGTCTAGATGATCTTAGCTACACAAATCAGAAATGCAAGAAAACACAATGACATAGATATTACATCCTTCAGGGTTGGACACTTTAGAATTAACGTTTTAACCTGACTTTTGAAGGATAAAACTTCAACTAAGAGATTTATATTTCGACTTAGAATGCATTATTAACATCGTTTTCTTTAATGAATGCCATGAAAAAAATTCAGTCTTTCGATCCGTTTGAACAGTAAAATAAAGAATATCTGAGTAACAGAAATAGTGTTTGGTTTTATTCACTATGCATCATCTATGACATGGAAAAGAAAGTCATTTGACAACACAAAGGACGTGTAAATGGCTTAACAGTTTGCTCTATAATGGCATATAACTGTGAAACATTGTCTATGAAAGTAAGAGGTATATGTAAGATCTAAGAATTTAGTCATCAATTTCTTCGAAACACCAAAGAATGTCGGCTTATTAGTCCAATCGTGAAGAGTTTGTGCGCGAAACCGAAGTTGTCGGGTTCCATCTCCATTTGCGAGGCTGTTGTGGATGAGGGCTTATGAAGAGTTCCATACTAGGAGGGAACGACCCTTCAGTGTTTCCAGGTCTCCATCATTCGCCAGCTTAGATCACTTCGAGACATCAATAGAGTTCAACAATCTGCACAACCCTATACTGATGTTCAACAGTTCTCAAATTCCAACTGTTTTTTAGTTGATATTACAGTTCATAACTAACAGCAATGAGTACCATGGTATTGTGATCGAGATGAATCCTTGTATTTCAATTCTTTGTGGACGAAAGAATCGAAGTAAAACTTTATCAGGCATAGGCCCGTACACATGACTTTGAGACACTCCATTTATGAGGGCTAGAGAGGCTATCTGGTTGCCCGACCAAAAGTAAATGAAGTAGAGTCTGGATACCCAGATTAGTGGTTGAAGATTGAGAGCCTTAACTACTGAGTTAATGTTTCTTCATTCATTATCATTATCGTCCGATCATAATGGAGTCAGAGAATGGGCACTAAAAGACTTCTGCAACTTCACTTCAGCAAGTAGAAAATAATTTACAAACAACAGTAGAAATAAAAGACTTTTGCAGTTAAGTTATTATTTCGTATTATTTCGTATAATTCTTAATGCGAAAGCGAATAATACAAATTAGATATCCAAACTGAAGTAGGTTAAATAGGATTATCATCACCCTATTCATGAATGAAAATCAAATAGCTTAATAATTAGGCTATAACTAATAAAAATTAAAAGCACAACTTACACGAATACCTTGATTTCCGATAACTTCTTCGTCTTCATCAGATGACTCTTCGTCGGGATTGAATACTAAAAAAATAATAAATAAAATGAATCCGATTCATTTACAGTTAATTTACACTTAAAGATCAGTTGATACAAGTTTAATTAATATTAGATAGCTGGATATAACAGAAACCCATGGACCCAAGTTTCACATTGGTTGGTACGCGTTAGCAATACATGTCCTAAATCTTGAAAGCACTAATTCTTAAGTTCCACACACAACTCTCGAAAATACAGGAACCTAGCTGAAGCCTGAACAGCTTAGTCGTAATGTCTATGATTGTGACACTTAGTGATGAAGATTCCAGTTCCATAGGGAGCATCGAATGTCACAAGACACTAAATACATCTTTTTGAAACGCGTCAGCTGATGCATAATCTAGGATGAAGGCTTTCTTTCGACTAAACATCAAAAGATAGTGCACACAAGATATCAAGCTATTTAAACTAATAGAAATATTAAAACTTAATATATGGAATTCAAACAGCATTAAGGACTAGAAAAAAACATAACGTAGACTACCACTCGATAATCCGAACCAAGTAAAAGTTTGATAAATAAGATGCTACAGATTGTGCTATTTACGAAACTATAGAACAAAGATCGACCTATTAAGGTGATATGGTCACCTGGAATAATGCACATTTGTCCCAGGATAGGAACAAGTCCAGATGGAATGTATATATTTGATAAAAACACAGATTGTTTATGAAATATATATGTCTAGTTTTCAATTAGCCATTTGCATCTGCTATGTGTTATCTCGAACATGACATGTTTTTGATCTCGTGAAACTCCTTATTTTTGGCTATAGACTGTAATGACCTCCAAGCGATACTCTGCTGCATACTGCCTATAAACACAACCTTGTGTGTAGTGTCCACCGCGCCAGGTTCTTTGTTATAAACAACTGACTGATTGACTGACAAACACATAAATAGTAAGATTTGTCATTAATAAATGTGCTTATCAATTTTGAAGCTTAATTCATTATTCAAGTTTTGAAACCTCAATATCTGTACATTGGACTAAGAACAGAGATGAAAGATAAGACTATGAAAATCATACGGATGATACATGATAATGTTTTTTTTAAAAATTTACATTATTAAAATTTTTAAAATATGCTTTACACGAACTTGTTTGCTAAACATACAAAAATCTTAGCGCTGTAAATGGTTGAATAAGCACAAACCGAAGTAACATTGAATATAACAAAGATGGCTGGGATGAAAGTAAAATGAACTAACTTTTATTTTTGGTAGCAGATTTCATTGCACTCATAGCACCACGAAAATATTTATGAATCTTTGTCATTTTGCTTAATTATTAAAAAGAAAAAAAAAAAAAGAAAATCCGAGACTATCATTTTGTGCATATTATCCAACAAATAGTGATGATAAGTGCCAACATGCTATTTTATATTCAATTGAATTTAGGTCAAAAACTGAATTTGACGAAATTTACGCTACATCAATCATCTTATCTATCTGTAAAATGATCTATACCTGTAGCAATATAGTTATTCAATTTGTTCCTACTGCTAACTCGTCATTTCATGCTTCATTTTCTCTAAATCACACTTCATGACCTCATGGTCAATTTGTATTTCAAAAGCTAAAGGAAGTAGGAGACTAAACCTGATGAATAGAAAGGTTAATCTACAATAGTGACTGAACTAAAAACTAGAGGATAATCAGTATAAAATATGATGAAGGTGAATTGTGAGGATAGAGCAACTATGCACCAAAATCACAGATTTGATCCTATACGACCGTTTAGGACTTGAAAATCTCCATACGAAAAACACAACACTCATTTGTTTGTTCTTTAGGAAGGAAATTATGTTGATCATCTGTTAAGCTAAGTCCATAACAAAGAATCTTAATATCTCAACTGAGCTAATAATTCAACAAACTATATATATATAGAAGGCAAAGCGAGACGAATGATCATACGTGAAAGTAAACTATGCATTGGTTGCTGATTCAACTCGTGTGGAAAAAACTGGGACTTCGAATGGGTTTTTAAAACAGCCAAAATCTCTGACCCGAGATTATGGTGTAAATACATTTAGACTTCCTTAAATTCTTAGACATTCCATTGTTCCACGCTTTTTATCTATGATTAGTATCCCTTTCTCCCAATACTCCTCGATTATCTCGATAAATGTTGTAGTCATTAATTAATTTGCCTTTGATTGACTTACTTTCCATTGAAGAGACTAGAGAGGATGAGAAAAACTACAGAACATTGGACAACTATTTCAATCTAGCTTGAACCCCTTACACACAGAGTGAAAATCAGAACCGCTAAGTGAGAATACAGAAGCCCACATTCCCAAAGCTAATAAATCCTATGTTTTTTTTTATTTTGAGACAAAGTGTAGTTACTTGAAATGACATTATAAACTTTTGAAATTAAAATAATTACAAAAAAATACACTAACTTTATTACTCCAGTCGAATTCTCTTGAGATGTAGTGGAAAAATCAACGCATTGCTTTTCGGTCAATGAAGTCAATGGTAAACTTGAATTACTGAACACAACAAGATATAGAACAAAATAAATACGATAAGCTACTAACAGTATTGTGTAAATGGAAGAGGGATTAAGTGCATACACTATTATAAATCAAAACTATGGTGGTTGATGTAGTTATTATCTGATTGATAAGGCTGGGTAGTACAATGAGAACATAAAGTTTAGAAAACATGTGATTATTATATTGCAATTAGTCTGAGAACTACTTTTAAGTTCAATAGTTAATATTATGATTAAGGACAAGATAAGTGATAACTTTTGTTCATGCACAAAACTCTCTCCAAAACAAATTATTTCATTAGAAAACAAGAAAAAAAAATCGTTAAATTTTCACGATTACAATCAATATAGGTCGCTTGAAAATTTTTTACTTAGTAAAGAATATTGAGAAGGCACTGCAGATTTTATTCCTAATTATTTCTAATAAGAAACAAGCTTGACAATCACACCACAAAATGCTGTCACTGAATAAAATATACTGTAAACTAAGTCTTTGATAGATGGAAAAGTACATATCTGGTTGGCGTAATGAGGGCTAAATGACCCAGCCACTACAAACAGTAAAACAGATAGATAGATCGTAAGTAGGTATATATATATATATATATATATATATTTCGAATAGATTTAAAAAGACTCAAGGAATGATAAAACACTAAAATAATCTTTTATGATTTGAGCGGAAATCCGAAAAGACACTCATGAACCTTTTAATCTTTACATTTGACTGTGGTAAACTTATACTTTCCCGGTTTATTCATGGGGGGGGGGGGGAGGGGGAACCGCTCCACCCAGTGAGCACGTGAATCGACTATCTCGTCACATCTCTCCGGTGTGTTGTGACCACATTGTCGATTCACGTGCTCACTGGGTGGAGCGGTTCCCCCTCCCCCCCCCCCCCTTGAATAAACCGGGAAAGTATAAGTTTACCACAGTCAAATGTAAAGATTAAAAGGCTCATGAGTGTCTTTTCGGATTTCCGCTCAAATCATAAAAGATTATTTTAGTGTTATATCATTCCTTCAGTCTTTTTAAATCTATTCGAAATACATATATATATATATATACCTACTTACTGTCTATCTATCTGTTTTACTGTTTGTAGTGGCTGGGTCATTTAGCCCTCATTACGCCAACCAGATATGTACTTTTCCATCTATCAAAGACTTAGTTTACAGTATATTTTATTCAGTGACAGCATTTTGTGGTGTGATTGTCAAGATTGTTTCTTATTAGAAATAATTAGGAATAAAATCTGCAGTGCCTTCTCAATATTCTTTACTAAGTAAAAAATTTTCAAGCGACCTATATTGATTGTAATCGTGAAAATTTAACGATTTTTTTTTCTTGTTTTCTAATGAAATAATTTGTTTTAGAGAGAGTTTTGTGCATGAACAATAGTTATCACTTATCTTGTCCTTAATCATAATATTAACTATTGAACTTAAAAGTAGTTCTCAGACTAATTGCAATATAATAATCACATGTTTTCTAAACTTTATGTTCTCATTGTACTACCCAGCCTTATCAATCAGTGTATGCATTTAATCCCTCTTCCATTTACACAATACTGTTAGTAGCTTATCGTATTTATTTTGTTCTATATCTTGTTGTGTTCAGTAATTCAAGTTTACCATTGACTTCATTGACCGAAAAGCAATGCGTTGATTTTTCCACTACATCTCAAGAGAATTCAACTGGAGTAATAAAGTTAGTGTATTTTTTTGTAATTGTTTTAATTTCAAAAGTTTATGATGTCATTTCAAGTAAGTACACTTTGTCTCAGAATAAAAAAAAATATAGGATTTATTAGCTTTGGGAATGTGGGCTTCTGTATTCTCACTTAGCGGTTCTGATTTTCACTCTGTGTGTAAGGGGTTCAAGCTAGATTGAAATAGTTGTCCAGTGTTCTGTAGTTTCTCTCATCCTCTCTAGTCTCTTCAATGGGAAATAAGTTAATCAAAGGCAAATTAATTAATGACTACAACAGTTATCGAGATAATCGAGGAGTATTGGGAGAAAGGGATACTAATCATAGATAAAAAGCGTGGAACAATGGAATGTCTAAGGATTTAAGGAAGTCTAAATGTATTTACACCATAATCTCGGGTCAGAGATTTTGGCTGTTTTAAAAACTCATTCGAAGTCCCAGTTTTTTCCACACGAGTTGAATCAGCAACCAATGCATAGTGTACTTTCACGTATGATCATCCGTCTCGCTTTGCCTTCTATATATATATATATATATATATATATATATATATATATATATATATATATATATATATATATATATATAGTTTGTCGAATTATTAGCTCAGTTGAGATATTAAGATTCTTTGTTATGGACTTAGCTTAACAGATGATCAACATAATTTCCTTCCTAAAGAACAAACAAATGAGTGTTGTGTTTTTCCTATGGAGATTTTCAAGTCCTAAACGGTCGTATAGGATCAAATCTGTGATTTTGATGCATAGTTGCTCTATCCTCACAATTCACCTTCATCATATTTTATACTGATTATCCTCTGGTTTTTAGTTCAGTCACTATGTGTAGATTAACCTTTCTATTCATCAGGTTTAGTCTCCTAATTCCTTTAGCCTTTGAAATACAAATTGACCATGAGGTCATGAAGTGTGATTTAGAGAAAATGAAGCATGAAATGACGAGTTAGCAGTGCGAACAAATTGAATAACTATATTGCTACAGGTATAGATCATTTTACAGATAGATAAGATGATTGATGTAGCGTAAATTTCGTCAAATTCAGTTTTTGACCTAAATTCAATTGAATATAAAATAGCATGTTGGCACTTATCATCACTATTTGTTGGATAATATGCACAAAATGATAGTCTCGGATTTTCTTTTTTTATTTTTATTTTTAATAATTAAGCAAAATGACAAAGATTCATAAATATTTTCGTGGTGCTATGAGTGCAATGAAATCTGCTACCAAAAATAAAAGTTAGTTCATTTTACTTTAATCCCAGCCATCTTTGTTATATTCAATGTTACTTCGGTTTGTGCTTATTCAACCATTTACAGCGCTAAGATTTTTGTATGTTTAGCAAACAAGTTCGTGTAAAGCATATTTTAAAAATTTTAATAATGTAAATTTTTAAAAAAACATTATCATGTATCATCCGTATGATTTTCATAGTCTTATCTTTCATCTCTGTTCTTAGTCCAATGTACAGATATTGAGGTTTCAAAACTTCAATAATGAATTAAGCTTCAAAATTGATAAGCACACATCGCTTGGAGGTCATTACAGTCAATAGCCAAAAATAAGGAGTTTCACGAGATCAAAAACATGTCATGTTCGAGATAACACATAGCAGATGCAAATGGCTAATTGAAAACTAGACATATATATTTCATAAACAATCTGTGTTTTTATCAAATATATACATTCCATCTGGACTTGTTCCTATCCTGGGACAAATGTTCATTATTCCAGGTGACCATATCACCTTAATAGGTCGATCTTTGTTCTATAGTTTCGTAAATAGCACAATCTGTAGCATCTTATTTATCAAACTTTTACTTGGTTCGGATTATCGAGTGGTAGTCTACGTTATGTTTTTTTCTAGTCCTTAATGCTGTTTGAATTCCATATATTAAGTTTTAATATTTCGGTTAGTTTAAATAGCTTGATATCTTGTGTGCACTATCTTTTGATGTTTAGTCGAAAGAAAGCCTTCATCCTAGATTACGCATCAGCTGACGCGTTTCAAAAAGATGTATTTAGTGTCTTGTGACATTCGATGCTCCCTATGGAACTGGAATCTTCATCACTAAGTGTCACAATCATAGACATTACGACTAAGCTGTTCAGGCTTCAGCTAGGTTCCTGTATTTTCGAGAGTTGTGTGTGGAACTTAAGAATTAGTGCTTTCAAGATTTAGGACATGCATTGCTAACGCGTACCAACCAATGTGAAACTTGGGTCCATGGGTTTCTGTTATATTCAGCTATCTAATATTAATTAAACTTGTATCAACTGATCTTTAAGTGTAAATTAACTGTAAATGAACCTGATTCATTTTATTTATTATTTTTTTAGTATTCAATCCCGACGAAGAGTCATCTGATGAAGACGAAGAAGTTATCGGAAATCAAGGTATTCGTGTAAGTTGTGCTTTTAATTTTTATTGGTTATAGCCTGATTATTAAGCCATTTAATTTTCATTCATGAATAGGGTGATGATAATCCTATTTAACCTACTTCAGTTTAGATATCTAATTTGTATTATTAGCTTTCGCATTAAGAATTATACGAAATAATTACTTAACTATTAAGTTACAGTAACTGCAAAAGTCTTTTATTTCTACTGTTGTTTGTAAATTATTTTCTACTTGCTGAAGTGAAGTTGCAGAAGTCTTTTAGTGCCCATTCTCTGACTCCATTATGATCGGACGATAATGATAATGAATGAAGAAACATTAACTCAGTAGTTAAGGCTCTCAATCTTCAACCACTAATTTGGGTATCCAAACTCTACTTCATTTACTTTTGGTCGGGCAACCAGATAGCCTCTCTAGCCCTCATAAATGGAGTGTCTCAAAGTCATGTGTACGGGCCTATGCCTGATAAAGTTTTACTTCGATTCTTTCGTCCACAAAGAATTGAAATACAAGGATTCATCTCGATCACAATACCATGGTACTCATTGCTGTTAGTTATGAACTGTAATATCAACTAAAAAAGTTGGAATTTGAGAACTGTTGAACATCAGTATAGGGTTGTGCAGATTATTGAACTCTATTGATGTCTCGAAGTGATCTAAGCTAGGCGACTGATGAAGACCTGAAAACACTGGAGGGTCGTTCCCTCCTAGTATGGAACTCTTCATAAGCCCTCATCCACAACAGCCTCGCAAATGGAGATGGAACCCGACAACTTCGGTTTCGCGCACAAACTCTTCACGATTGGACTAATAAGCCGACATTCTTTGGTGTTTCGAAGAAATTGATAACTAAATTCTTAGATCTTACATATACCTCTTACTTTCATAGACAATGTTTCACAGTTATATGCCATTATAGAGCAAACTGTTAAGCCATTTACACGTCCTTTGTGTTGTCAAATGACTTTCTTTTCCATGTCATAGATGATGCATAGTGAATAAAACCAAATCTGTTATTCAGATATTCTTTATTTTGTTGTTCAAACGGATCGAAAGACTGAATTTTTTTCATGGCATTCATTAAAGAAAACGATGTTAATAATGCATTCTAAGTCGAAATATAAATCTCTTAGTTGAAGTTTTATCCTTCAAAAGTCAGGTTAAAACGTTAATTCTAAAGTGTCCAACCCTGAAGGATGTAATATCTATGTCATTGTGTTTTCTTGCATTTCTGATTTGTGTAGCTAAGATCATCTAGACAAGCAAGAGGAAGACGAGAATTCTTGCAAATCAAATTAGTTCAAGAAATGAAAAATGAGCACACGGTTAGTCTATAATAATAGTTTTTAAGTTAATTGTTAATTTATATACATTTTGTTCATTATTAAGTTTTGTTTGATTTTGTGAATGTCATCAAACTATAAATTTATGATGATTGGACTAATAACTAATTTTAATTTTGAGTGCCTTCAAGATAGTAGTAACTAATGCGTAAAGATTCACAAAACAATCAACAATTCTACTATGTATTTTCTTCGGAATTTTCCTACTTCATTTTCCCATTTTTTTTCTCAATCATATATTTCTTGATCATTTTGATTCATTTTCATTTCTAATGATTTCCAGTAGTTGATTGTTGTCAAGTCCTCTGATTATGTGTGTTTATCTATCAACAATTCTATAATTTCATTGACTTTTTAAGTTCGATCTATGTATTTATGTGAATGATGGGTAGATGGTATTGAATTTTTGCTGTGTGAATGATTAATCAGCGTAAATTTACTTTTTCGTATTCAATGCTATCCTTAAATCTGTTTATTTTTTAATAGTAAAAATACCTTACTATCATTGCTATATGTCGTTTTCTGTTTTGATTGTTAAGCACTTTCTTGTCATTAGTTTTTTTGTTGTTGATTGCATTTTGTTTTTGTGCCTGCTCAAACTAATAACAACATTAAATCTAATACAAGCAGATAGAGATATAGGCTATACGCATAACGTTTCTTGCGTGTGTATGTGCCACTTCTCATATTTGGCAGATTAATTGATTAATTGAAGTGGTTGGGGACATGTGTTACGTATGCCCAACCACCGACTGCCTCAAAGAGTGATGTTTTATGGTTTAGGAGTAGGTTGGAAGAAAGCTGGGGCGACCAAACCAAAACATGGCACAAACCCTTGAAGTCACTGAAGAGTGGACTGAATCATGTTGGTAGATGTAGGCTATCTGGTTGGGGTCCGCGAGACGAAATTCACCGATGATTAGAGACCTTGAACGACGTGGCTCAAAATCGTTTGCAATGACGCAGGTGCATCCACTCGTTGTGTTCTCTCGAATTCTAATCTTCAGAATTCCTCATTGTTAGCGCGACATAGATGGAATAAAGCATGTCTGCGTTGGCTGCCTGCTGATTGACTAAATCTAATCCGATCAGCGCTAGTCGATACGTGGAGTACATTCCAGAAGCTTCTCATGTAAAAACTATAAGGATACTAAGGTTGTTCCTATTTCGCCTTCGCTTCGGCTTCTTACTTCCATTTAACCTTACTATTTGGAATATAATCTTTTCCTGTTTAACCGTGTTCTGATTTGGGGACTTGTCGAGTGTATTGTTGTCAGAGAATACTAAGCAATAGTAATAGCTGGGTTCACTAAGAGAGATTTATAACACTCATTATCCCTATGTTTCTCTTTCTAAATTTATCTCACTGAATTATATTTCTTGAATAATATATCTTTGAACTCTAATCTCACCGATTACTGCTAATACGTCTACTATTTTTACCACTATGGGTTTTGAACTGACAATTGCATCTCTGTGTTAATGTGGTATGGCAGCCTGAACTTATGTAATCATGTACGAAGTTCTACGTTGTAACTGACTGACTTCTCATATTTGTTCAATAAATGGAATTTGATATGATACGAATTAAAACATTGTTTGTTTGCTAATAAATTGTACTATTTTTATTGAAAATTGTATGTATAAAGGCTAATTGTAGTGCATTAAAGTATCTATTTAATTCAGATTGTGTTCAAGTGGTTGTTTTTATGCATGAATTGTCAATCTTGTTATCTTAGTTATCTCAATGATTGTCATAACTACTATAACTTTGAATCAATCTATCATTATGAACTAGTCATCATAGTGTGATACTCATTGATTGTAGTAGTGAACTAAGATTAAACTATTATTTATTAACAAAAGTATGAATAAGTCAATTTAAGGTATACAAAAGATACAGGAGAGAATAGTAACAGTTAAACAATAGTATGAATTAATAATATCGTATGTTAGGCTTTTTTCTTGAACCAATCAACGAAATTCAAAGATCAGAGTTGTCAGCTTTCATTCTTTCAGCTTTCTGTCTTTAGGTTTCTTTCTCTTAGATTGATAAGAGATGAGAACGTAACGCATTTGATCAGTTACACTGAATACTTTTTTTCTTTATATGAACAACTATCCATTGGTCAACAACAAAACTGGTCAATAAAGACTCTTGTTGTATGAAAAAAAGTTTTTCTCCCCTGTTTCAATTCATCTATCATGTAGCTCATAGTTATTATTAGTATGTACTTTTTAAATATTTATTATTTTGATAAGTCTATTTCGACCTGTAACCTTCCTATTCCAATATATATTCATTCTTATCGTTATTATTATTATTATTATTATTAGTAGTAGTAGTAATAGTGGTGCAGTAGTTTGAATAGTTACCGTGTTTGTTTACCTTGAAGCACTTCACTTTCAATCTCATCATGTTTGTTTTCGCTAGATATATGTAATACTGTAAGTAAAGTCAATGAGTTGAAATATATATATATATATATACAACACAATGAAATTGACAAATAAACGTTCAAAATTAAAAGATAACTGAATTTTTCATGCAATACTAAATAATGTACAGTCCGAGTAAACAAATCAAAATGTCACTGTAGTTGGAACAGTATATAATTAAAATAATAAAAAAAGGTCAATATTAAGTAATTTTTTTCGGCCTGTTAACGAACAACCATATTACAAGTTTTTTTGAATACATATATAGAGATCATTGAGGTAGAGGCGGGCGATTACCTTTAACGTCGTCTCTGATATATAATTTATGAGAGTTCATGGCTTTTTAAATAGATATCTGGCACACACACTTGAAGTGTTTTTAAATGCTTTGGTCACTCAGTTTATGTTTAAAATCAAATGTGATACACTCCGGCTAGAGCCTAAATCTATTCAACTCCTTCTGAACTACTATGGAAGTTTGTTACGTAAAAAATTCTGTTGTTTTTATGGTTTGATGTAGTATGGTATGTTAAGTATGTAAACTTTGTCTGCTTGAAATGTAATGAGTTTCATGGACCAAAAAGGATTTAGAGCTAAATCAATGTTTCTGGTGCCAAGGTGTAAGTCTGATTGGTGTTTTGTATTTGTCAAGTGATATTGGTCACACCTAACCTTCTAAGATGCAATAGCGGAATGCCAACACATTCTGAACCTATAAAACTACACGAAACTAATTGAAAACAGTGGAGTAGTACATGAAATTAGTGGTTTTACCCTGAAATCAAAGTATCAGACAGACAGATAAAACGCAGAACTTCGTACGTAAGTATAGCAGTTCAGGTTGCCATGCCCAATCAGCACAGAGACGCAAATGTCAGTTCAAATCCAAGAGTGATAGCAATAATAGAAGTATTAGCAGTAATGGAGAAGATTAGGGTTCGAACATATGATTGGAGAAGTATAATTCAGTAAGATAAATATAGAAGGAGAAAGGTAGAGATTATGAGGAATGCAGAAGCTTAGAAGTTTCACGGTACGGTTAGTCAGTCACTGCTTATTAGTTTCGTAATGGTTGGTATGTCCATTAAAAAACACACATATACAGTATTGATCTATTAAATATACCGAAACAAAGTGCTCTATACTGTACAATAATGGTTATTCTCATATATTAATAATTAATCTTAAAAATTTCTACAAAAGTTGATAAATTTTGTCTACAACTTATTCCTATCAATTATCATGTAATAATTTTTTAAATAAATTTATAAATATGACTTGCATTCTTTTCTAACCTAATTAAATAAATATGTTACTATCACTTAAGTATCTATTCTCACTATTCACAAAATCTTACAAGATCATCATAAAATATATGCATAGATATGCAGTGTATTTTCTTCTACAAAAGTATTCTTGATATATATAAATCTCCGATAACCTTTTTATTCATTATTTATTTGTCTGCTTAAACTACCTTAGAGTGTTGTGTGGTAGTGGGACTTGATTACTGAATCAGTATCATTTTTAAGTGATAGAATTTATTGTTATTAATGTTTCCCAAGTGTATATACATTGTTTTTCATTTTAGGGTGCTATATGGGCTATGCGTTTTTCACCATGTGGTCGATTATTGGTGAGTGTATGTTTTTTCCATCGACAAAAGATGTAATCATAATAATAATAATAATAATGTTAATATAATGAGAAACTTTTCACTACATCCTAATCGATTGATCAATTCTCAATAATATCTATATTATTTTCTCTATCTGAAATACTTTTAAAAGTTATATATCTATATTTTTTTATCCAGTTGTATTATTATTTATTTTGTATAATATCAACAATAATAATCATTGACTGATTTTATTTTAATTCTTCTTCTTCTTATTATTATTATTTTTTCTGTTGTTGTTGATCACATCTTTTTCTATATTCCTTCTTTTAATACTCTATTGGTCACATTCTTTCAAATCTATTATTTGTCTGTATTAATTTATTTAAAACCGATTCTAGGTTGTTTCTCGAATTAGTTTTTACTATTTAAGTATTTCAATAACTTATATATATATATATATATATATATATATATACCTAGGAATCAGTCAGTAAGTTTCGACTTAACTTCGTACATGAGTAAATAAGTTCAGGTTGCCAAACTACATTAGCACAAAGATGCGATTGTCAATTCAAATCCCATAGTGGTAGAAATAGTAGAAGTATTAGCAGTACTGGAGAAGATTAGGGTTCGAAGATATGATTCGAAAAGTATAATTCAGGGAGATAAATTTAGAAGGAGAATGATAGAGATTATGAGAAATTCAGAAGGTTAGCATTAGAGAGAACACAACGAGTGGATGAATCTGCGTCATTGCAAATGATTTTGAGCCAAGTCGTTCAAGGTCTCTAACCATCGGTGAATTCCGTCTCGCGGACTCCAACCAGATAGCCTACATTTTCCAACATGATTCATTCCACTTGTTAGTGATTTCATGGATTTGTGGCGGGGCATATGTAACGCATGTCCAAACCACCTCAACTGATGAGTTTTCAATACTTCATCTATTGATTTGCCATCGCTACCCTAGTACTCGTTTCCTAACTATAGCATTCCTTACTCGGTCGTCCCAGGATACACGACCGATGCTTCGGAGACACCTATGATCCAAAACCAGTAACATACGAATATCTTCTACTCTCACTGGCCATGTTTCACAGCCATGAAGTAGGACGGAACGAACTGCTGCACAGTAACACTGGTCCTTTGGTTAGCAAACGGATATCTCGCCAACGCCATAAGTGACGCAGGTAGGCAAAAGCCAATTGAGCCTTCTGTATCTGTGGTGAGATTTCGTCAGTGACCAGGCCATCAGCACTGATGAGATTCTCGAGTTAAGTGAAGCGGTTGACACGCTCAACTACTTCACTACCTATGCGTGGCTTTCAAAGCTACGTATATTTTATGAAGAACACTTGACGTGCCCAGTGTCATTCACAGCAACAAACGTTGAATAGCTCGTAACTGTATACTTTTAAACATATTCACTTAGTAAATGCTATCTATGCATTGTTATCATTAAAAGAAGACAATTTGACCAATAGACATTATTGTTAACAATCTGGTTTCGAGGAAGTAAATCTGCATTTGTAAATATCACCGCTATCATAGCTTCATAATATTTTAAGAGTTCATTTAGTTGTAAATCTTGATAAACATGTTCAATGGGTGTGTGTGTGTGTATTAACATTTTTTTTATTATTGCATATTTATCATATTGTACATACATGTTTACATTTTCTATTAGTAAAATAAAAACAACAATCTTTTTGTTGAATGCATATATATATATACACCATAGGCTACTGCTGGATATGATCGAAATATTCGAATATGGGTCTTGAAACAGTGTTATCGATATTTTAAAGAGATGCAACGAAGTTCTAGTAAGTCACCAGTTTTATAGTATAGATTCGTTTCTTTAATCTCTCTCGGAATTTTGGACGTCTTCTAAATCAAACTGATTATAGATATGATTGTATTGTAATTCAGTTAACTGTCATGACCAACGTCATTAGTTAGTGTTTGACTTTAGTTAAAAATTAATGAAACAAAATAAAAATAGTACCACATGTATAAACGAACATTATTGTTTTCAATGAGATTGTCATCAGGCTTTACTCGAATATACGTGAATATATATATATATATATATATATATATATATATATATATATGGCCTATGCTCCGTTAGGGGTAACAGGCGTAAGGAAGTAATCTATCTGAGGTTGCGAAAGACCGTAAATCGATCATAGTTTGACATTAACAGCGTTAGATACCGGCTCTTTGATCTAGAGGTTAGGCGTTCGCGCACAATACGGATGGTCTTGGATTCGAATCGTGAGAGGTACGAAGTCGTGGATGCGCACTGCTGATGAGTCCCATGTCAGGACGAAACGGCTAACCACTGCTTCCCTGGTTTCTAATGGTGGTCTAGCATTGATCAATTCATGATTTCAAATATATAACAATGTTAAACCAGTCAAGGCGATTTCAGTCAATAATCACAATGAAGTGAAATAGATCACATCACTACACATAATAGGCAAAAGTACAAGTTGATAGTATGAAGACAGGTGTACTGATAGTAGTAAGAAAAATAAAATGCTGTAACAAAAGTTTTCTCAATAGTAGGTCAAATGTGGATAATTAGACTTAAAATAATCTATACAAATCATTAAAACCATTAAGTAATAAATGAAAAATAAATGTGTGCAATTTAAGTCGATAAGATTAAATTTGAAAAATCGATATTAAAAGGATGGTAATTCAAATGATAATGAACATAGTATGTGTAACTGTTTGGTGATTTGAAGTTTCTAATAAAATTACAGATTTAAAATTGACTAGTGTTATCTTTATTTTAAGTGAATATGATAATCATATAATACTTTCGGTGATATGTTACTGATGACTGACTATATAGTGATTACATCTTTACTCAGAAACTTTTCTCTTGTATAAAATTCATCAACTATGCGTTAAAGAACTTACAGTTGAGAGATGTATGAATAATGATGATACTCAAATGAGTGTGTTGTTACTTTTGTGCATCGATCATCTGATGTCGTTTTTTTCAATATTGGAAAGTATGAACTAGAGTTGTGTTTCCATTTCAACTGAAACGTATTTCTGAAAATGTCTTGAATCATTTGATTCTTCCCAATGTTTTTTATGACTTGAAATAAATTCCAAACCTAATTTTGCTTAGAAATGCAAAAGAAAACTATCTTAGATGCTGCTATTTTATTCTGCTTTACAATATTAGTGTTCAACGCTTGAACACCCTATTAGAATGCCCATAAAGTTTGTACTATTAGAGATTCTGTAATAAAATACACTGTTAAACAAGTTAGTATCATGTAACTTGAGTATATATGTACTTGAATTCACTGTTGGGCAACTCCGAAGTATTCGTCGGCCATGTCCACATGGTCCCGGTAAATACTTGGGAACGTTTTATCCAATTATCGTTGAGTAGGATCTTCGTAGAAGTACCTAGAAAATAAGGAATGATGTGTTAAGATTTTGAGTATATATATGCCTACACTACTATTATATTTAACATGGTCTTGCAATGTTCCAGAAGCTGAAGGGTAAACCTAACTGTATAAATACCTTCGATTTGCCATTAATAAACGAACCATAGATTAGAATATTATAATTTCACTTTTCGCCTTTTCTCTCGTGTGCTAATAGCCTCTTTCTGTATGTGGCTGTACTTCTTTCTGCTGTGGATAGTGTACGGGATGCATGCATAACGGCTTTTTCTGACGCGTCTGGAAACTGATGTGAAATAACAGCACCTAGGCCATATGCTGAAGCGTCTGCTGCTACGATGATTAGCATGGATGGATCGTAGTGTGTCAATAACAATTCTGAGCTAATTATGGACTTGAGTTTGTTAAAACCCACGTCCTACTCTTTAGTCCAATTCCAAGTGCTGTTCTTCTGCAATAGACAATTCAATGGAGCACGGATACCATGCATTGAAGGAACAAATGCTGAATAATAACTGATTAATCCGATAAAAGATCGTTATTCCGAGACATTAGTCATTGTTTCAAGTGACTTATGTACTGATGCACTGCAGTCTTGCAAATTTTGTCTATGACTGACTCAGTTGATATGAACAATTCAAATCAACTATAAGAAAGTTTTATTGCTCTTCTTTAGTGGTATTTTATGTTTTACTAAGCGGCAGAACTATCAAAAACTGGCGCTACTGGTACTTAATAGGAAAGAATCGAAATCTTGGGTTTATTTTTTTTTCGTTATTTAATCTGACGATAGCGCAGTAAACTTCAAATTAATAAACTGAAAGTAATATTATTTGATTAATAAACTCTTTTCAAACTATTGAACACGAATAAATAATGTAATGGGGAAAAGTTAGTTTTGTTTAAATGCTTACTTTTCGTAATGTAGTTATTTCTTTTGATCTTTTAGTGTACTTTTATGAACACAAATGATGTACAGTTTTGAAATGATTTTCTAAAAATAGAATATTGTTATACACATGTCCTACAACGATTTCTCTTTAGAAATCACTAACAATATTTTGTTTGACTTCTATCTACTAAGTCCGAGGTCCGAAACCCACTCTATCGTACTTTAGTTTTGGGAACTAGATAGTATCACTAACTCTTACATTTAGAGTATCATTTCAAGCACGGTAATAACTAAATTTGTGCTTGGTAAATAAGTTATTCAAGCAAACTATGTCTAATAACTTCATTTTCTCTGTCATCATTAAAACAAAACACAAATTTAAAGCTCTTTTGTTTTTGTTTTATAAATTTTCAACTTTCTTTTTTTAGCTCCACCACCAACTAGTGCAAAATATGAATCAGTTGGTTCATTTATATCAAATGATTTTCAAACTGTAAAATGATGCTACATCCACTGTACTATTAGATGAAGAGAGTCGTTTTGATTCGTTAAGCTTAACATCGACTACCATTTCAACATCAGGTTAAAACTGATGTTAGTGAAGCGGTAAATCTAATTATGATATTCATTTTTAATTATTGCTTATAGTAGTAAATTTAGTGAATATTTTGTTTACTTGCAATGTATGTGTGCGTATGTGTACTGACAATGTGGAGATATTTTTAACTATTCTATGAATTCATCGGTATTGTTCATCAATTGAAAATACCACTAAGAAAAAAATAAGGAACACTATTCAACTGTTTTATTTTAACACGAAACTCATTAAGATCACATATCCACGAATTCGTCAAAGATCGAATCCAGGCTGTTTAATTTTTTCGCCAGCGCTTAACCACTGTGTTGGGACGCCACTGAGTACTTCTCGTTTAGTTTACAATGGTATCCTAACTCTGGTTGATCAATGATGTGTACTTCATATAAATAAAATTAATCTCCATCTGTTAAATTGCTGACATTTTCGTATATAAAATTGAATCATTTAATGTGTCAAATATGGATGATTAGTTTTGAAAGCGCAATTTCATTAATTGCGATCAATCGAAGTTTTGTT